TTTAAATTTAAATTAATTTTAAAATGATTTAAGAATATTTTACAATTTTTATTTACTATTTTACAATAAAACAATTTTTAAACAATTTTATTTTATTTTATTTTATTTATTATAATTAAAAATAATTAAATAATCATTATTAATCTCATGTAAAAAAAAAAATTTTTCACATTTTTTTTTCTATTTTGATTAATATTTTCCTACTTTTCTTGTATTATTTCTTGTATTATTTCTTAATTAATTAATTTTGAACTTCTATTTATTTCTCTATTTATTTCTTAGTTCTTCAAAAATAGGCGTAAATCATTTAATTGCCTATTGCTTATTTAATAAAATAGTAAAATATATAAATAAATTTAATAAAGAAGTAAAATATGTGAATAAATTTCTCCGATCCAATGCCTCATTTAAAATTAATTAAGCATAAAGTTAATTCGCTGTTGTCGAAAAATCGTCGTAAAATCGTCGTCGCTTTTTATCAAATCCTTCTTATCTTATTTGTTAAAATATCAAATATCAAATACATTGTTTTAAAACTTCTTTATCATTTTTACAGTTTTTTTCATTTCTTTTATTTTTATTATTATATTTATATTTTTATATTTTCGTATTTTATCTTATGTTGTATTATATTATATTTTATATTTTTTATTAAATTTTTAAAAAATCGTATTCTTAAAATTGAATCTTAAAATCAAATCTTAAAATCGAAATGAAATTTATTATTAACTATTTATTCTAATTACAATTATTATATTATTATTATTGCCTATTATTATTAAATTAGCTTATATGAATTAATAAACATCGTAAATTTTAATCAAAAATTCTATATTAATTCTATATGTTTATGAATTAAAATATCGAGAAAACTAAGTAAAATTATCGTTTTCCAAAACTTTTTCCCATTTAGAAACCAGTTCATAAATTCTTTTCTTTGAAAAAGCTTGCGTCATTTCGAAAATTCGAAAAATATTTTTCAAGGCCATTTTCTTTACAAAATTTTGAAAAAGACCTAATTTTTCTTACAGCTAATTAATGCATTATAGAATTTTGTACAAATGGAGAGAAATCAAAAGGAGAGAGGAATTTTAGTTTTGCGAATATGGTATTTTTTGGAACAACATACGACATCTTTTTCTTTTATATTAATTGTCTTAGACCATTTTCATGAAATTTATTCTACAAAACGAGAGAGAGTTGTTGTCGTATTAATTTCGTATTTTATGGTCAGTTCTCAGGTCTCTAATCATTCGTGTTTAGGGAATAAACTGGCTCAGTGGGTTGTTGCTCAATTGGGAGTGCCGATGCTGAGGTTCGATTCCCTGTAGGAGTAAAACTGTACAAAAATACGGGTGATGCGACTCATATTTCATTACTTTTAATTTTTCCAATTTAAATTTCCAGTTTAGAAGATTTAGATAATATAGCCTTTACAAAATTGTCATTGGTTTTGTTTTCGCTGATATGTCGCCTCGCATCTGAATTATCGCTCATCTTCGCTATTTCGTCGTTTAACCGATGTTTTTCTTTTATCATGTTTTAGTGATTTAATAATGGTGCTTTATTGGAACATATGATTGTATTGTTTTAATTAACCTTCAATTAGAATGGCTCAGTAGGTTTCTGCTCAATTGGGATTGGGAGCGCCGATGCTGAGATTCGATTCCCTGCAGAAATAAACCTGTACAAAGATCCTGGTGATGCTGGCGACTCACCTGTATTTCTATCGCCAAGGAATTCCCTAGCATATTGCCCAATTGCCACAAGGCACTGCAGCGAGTTTAACCAGTAATGGTGAGGACTCTTAAAAAAAAATCATTCTTATTTGGAGGATAATAGTTTCGCTAAATTTTAGTAATCTTTTATACTCGTCTTGTTTATTTGATAATTACTAGCATTTACGATTGGAATTTTCGTAAAGCGATCCCATCATCTCATAACCAATCACCAAAATCACCAATTATATCACCAATTATTTTTTGTCGTATCCAAAATGTCGATTCTTTTTATTGTCTAAAAAAATTTCATGCATAGATTTATGCTCTTTGAAATGTATAATGCGCGTGGTGAATTTATTTCGAGTCAAACACCATCTTTTTATTTGATTTGTGAAGAAGAATAATGCAGGTGGTGAAATATTTTTTCACCTGTGCTTTTTTAGCGATTTCAATTTTCGATTTTTATTTTGAATTTCATCTTGGAAGGCCTTGGAAAACCTTCATTTGATTTCTAAGAGCGGCCTTAATTAGGATCACTTCTTCAGTTGTTTATTTTTTTATGCATTCACCATTTTTCACCAATTTTTCACCACTTTAAAATTTCGGCCATTTCTAATCATTTTTTTTTATTTCGGAATACACAGTACTTCGTTTATCTAACTTCATTCTTGCATTATTGCTTTTTTTTTTTTTAGTAAATTCTTAGAATATCCGAATGCCTAATCAACGATCAGTTAGTAATTTATATGTTATTAAATTGCTAGGATGAATTTTCATTAAATAAACTCTCTAAATATCATATTATTATTAATGGGAGATGGCGGAGGAGGGGAATTTTGCCAATTAAGAAATTCCCTTCCCTTCGAAAAAAAAGAAATATTATCATTAGTGATCTAATATTATTAAAAATTTTTTATAGCAGTAAAAATTCGAATTCAATTAAAATTAAAACTAGCGAAATTGATGTGAAAAATCGGTAATTTTACTGATAGTCGTTTTAAAAAAAAATTAATTTTTTATGAATTTTTTTTAAAAATCTTCTATGAGAAAGCCACAAGAAATCTATTTCGAAAAAAAAGACTATTTGACTATTTTTTATTCACTTTCATTGATAAAATTTTTGATATGATGAATAATTGATAAGATAATGGGAATTATTGATACTTTGGTAATGGTGATAATGGGAATATTGAGATTTTTTTAAAATGCGTTTATTCATTAAAATTTATTAGAATAAAATACATTATAAAATATAAAATAAGAATCTTATAATTGTGAAATTTGTAAAATTCGAGTTATGCTGTTGAATGGTGACGAATAGTTTTTTGGGAGATCCTCATCGTAGATCGCTGAATTTTTCTTTATTTCTTCCAAATTTTGCAATAATTTTTTTTATAATTTTTTAAAATCATTATCACATTTTAAATATTTTTGAAATAAAATTTAGAAAATCTTTTTTTTACAATTATATAATTTTCTTTTTTTGTTATTTTTTATAAAAAAAAATTATTTCGATTTTCAATTTATTTATTTAATTATCGTTTTTTTCCTAGACGCTAAATGATTTATGAAATGTGTTTATTAGCTTTTCTTTTTTTTTTTCATCGAAATTGAAAAATTCTATTTTTAATAATTTTATTTGATTAAAGCAATTTTAAATTTTCTTATTTTCTTGTGCTTATTTATTTCGTTTTAATTTCATTTCATTTTAAATTCATTTTCACTAAGTAATAATTTTATTCTTCGTCTAATGATAATTTTATTTATCTAATATCTTTATTTTTATTCAAATAGTAATTTTACTTATAGCTATAGTAATTTTAATATTAACCAGTAACTAATAATTTTACTAGTAGTGATATAATTTTAACAATAACTTTGCTAATAGTAATAGTAATTTTAAATTGTAAATTTGCTAGCAATTTTGATAATAATTTTAATTTACTTCAGTATTTTAATATAAACAGTAATTTTAGTAGTAACTTTGCAAGAAGTAATAGTAATTGTATTAATAGTAATTTTTTAATAATAACCTTACTAATAATATTAACAATAATAACCTTAACCTTACTAATAGTGATATATTTTTAACAATAATTTTGCTGATAACATTAACAATAGTTTTAACAGTAAGTTTACTAGTAGTAACAATAGTTTTAACAGTGATTTTAATAATAATAGTAATCTTAGTGGTAAACTTGCTATTAGTAATATATTTTTATCAGTAATTTTACTGAAAGTAATAGGAGCTTTAACAGTAAGTTTGCTGGTAGTAACAATAATTTTAATTTTACTGATAGTAATAGTAATTTTAATAGTAACTTTACTTGTAATAATAGTAATAATTTTAGTAATAATCTTTCTGTTAACAATTAATTTTTCTTCTTCTATAATAAGAGACCTTATTTTTAAATTTTTAATTTTTAATTATTGAAAATAAAAGAGAAGAAATTAATCGATTCGAAATGAATTAATGAAAAAATCATCTTATTTTGAATATTTTTTTCGTTCGGTTGTTTTTTTTAAAAAGCGTTCTTTGCTTTTCTTTTTTCTTAAATATCTAAAGGAATATTTTCTTTTAAGCGATTCAAAGAGGAATTTTTTATCAACAAATTATCAATCATTCGTGATAATTCGTGCAAAAATGATCGAAGAATTAGAGGTTATTTTTTGCATCTAATTCGATTTAATTTTTTCAGTTTTTTTATTTTCAATGATAAAATCAAAAAATAAAATAAAATATAAAAAACATAGAAAAAATATAAAGAAAAAATTTCTAACTTTTTTTCTATTTATTTTGAAGATTAGCTTTAAATTTTGAAATTTTTTATTTTTTTTAATATTTTAATATTTTTAATTTTTAATATTTTGTAAAATTTTTATTAAAATTAAAATTACTAAAAATTTATTCATTGAATTTCTTTTTTATGTGAATTCCTAATAGTACTAATTGAATATTGTACAATAAAATAAAAAATTTGTCGATTTTTACGAAAATTTTTTAGTCTATTAGCACATTTACTACTTTAATATTAGAATTATTAGAAATCAGTTGGAAGAGATTTTGAACTTGTAGCTTAGACCTTGCGATATATTAAACGATGAGGAATATATCTGCTGCTATCTCAGATTTGGCATCACACCGAGCTGCTTACCTTTAGAGCCAACCGAGCTAATCAACTAAATCAAAATCTAATTATAATAAACTCGTTAATTGTGGGACTAAATGATTTATCCACTTATCGGTTATCATTTGCTAATGATAAAGTGATTATCAGATTATCATTATTGTCAATATTATTTAAAAGGTTTTATGTAAAATGGAATTTTTTTTTGCAGGTAATATCTGTACAAACAACACGTTGTGGCTTTATTCATGTTTATATACAAGGAAATCTAGAAAATCGTAATGGCAAAACAATGGTTATGACTGTACATGATGTTGGAACGAATTGTAAATTTTTTCTCTTAAAATTTAAAAAAAAAGAAAAAATGAAAATCATTTTATAAATTTCTCATTTAAAAAAAGAATTTAATTTTCCTAATTTTTATTTGAAAAATTTTTTTATGAAAATTCCTCTTCTTCAAATTTTAAAACAAAAAATTTTTTAAAGAAGAATTTTATTTCAAAATTTTTTTTCTAATTTTGATTTTTTCTAAAATAATTTTTCAAATTTTTTTTTTTGTCTCTTCTTTTTTTTGCATTTTTTATTTCGTTAAATTAACACGAATTTTTCTTGTTGATTTATCTAACAATAAATAGAAGAAAATTTTCGCTAAATTTACTAAATTTTTTTAAAATAAATTTTCGTTTTCACAATAATGAAGAAATAAATGCAAAACAAGAGGCTCTAGCAATACTTAAAATACGATTATTTTTTTATTATCTAAAATCTTATAGATAAAGCGTTTGTTCGCTTCTGCAATCATCCATCGATGGCGGATGTTAAAGCCAAATCCATATTCATTCATGTTTGCATACCAGGGCAAGAAGATAATGCGCCCGATTACATTGGCGAGTGAGTATTTATTAGCAAGCTTGGCTGGTTTTCAATAAATAAATAAAATATTAGTGACATGGAATGTTCGATCTTCTTCAGTGGAGTAGAGGAAGTGGGGGGGGGGGGGGGGGGGGGGGGGGGGGGGCGAGTGAGAGGGAGAGGAAAAAAAGAGGAAAATCTTTTATTAGGAACCATGAAAATATTGACGATTGCTAAAGATTCACTTTTTGAACCCTCTGAAAAATTTGTAATTTATGATTTTAAGAGAATAAATAATTTTATTTGTATAGCTTAAAAAATTTCTGATAGAATTGAATAGCGCTAAATTATTTATTTTATTGGCACATATTTCATAAAATTTATATATATTTAATATAATTACTAAATAATGATGAATGAACAAAATGAGATTTTTTTAAAATTTTATAGCCAAAATTTTTTTTAAAATTTAGAAAAAAAATATGTTAATATTTATAATATTTATGATAATTTTACGATTTAATATTTATAATGTTTAATATTTATAATAATTTTTTAATAATTTATTAATATTTATAATATCCATCTATAATATTATAATTTTTTAATTTATTAATATTTATAATATTCATAATATTTAATAATTTATTTATAATATTCATCTATAATATTGTAATTTTTTAATAATTTATTAATATTTATAATATTCATCTATAATATTGTAATTTTACATTTTAATGTTTATAATATTTTTTTAATATTTAATATTTGCATTTTTTAATATTTTCTTAATAATATTATTAATGTTTATAATATTTATGATGATTTTATAATTTAATATTTATAATAATATTTTTTTCATTATTTATAATATTTAATATTTTTAATAATTTTAATAATTTTAGCTTTCCAACGCTTGACCAAATCGGTGAAGATTTAGTGTGCGTACTCGACAAACTTGATGTAAAGACTTGTATTGCATTTGGTGAGGGAGCTGGAGCAAATATCATATGCCGTTTTGCTGTATTTTTTTCTAATTTTTTTTCTCAACTATTAATTAAAGTTTTATTAATTATCATGAATTTTCAAGAAAATAAGGAGCTGTTGCTCATGATATTCTCATTAGCAACCATTATCATTATCATTTTTTTCGCAGGAGAAAGAGAAAGAACTGAAGCACTGAAACTATTCAGAATTCAGTGCTTATAATTTCCTTTTAAAAATTTCCTCAATTTTCTTCCTAAAGAAAATTCTAATTTTCTACAGTTCTGATTTAATGAATACGTTATCAGCTATTGTTAATGATAGAATGCGCAAAATATGCAAATAAATATAAAAATATTATTAAATATATTATTAAAAATAGTATTTTAGGCAAAAATAAATGAATAAATAATAATTTATAAATTTTTATTTTTTAATTTTGTATAATTTTTAATAAATTTAATATTAATATTTATTAATTGAATATAATTTTAAAAAAACATTAATTTTAATATAAATATTTATTTTTATTTCTTTAAAGATGTCATCACCGAATCGTATTATGGGAATTTGCCTTGTCCATTGTACGTCAACAACTGCTGGAATTATTGAATATTGCAAAGATAAAGTATAGAAATTTATTTTTTATTTTTTGTCGTTTTAAATACATAGTATTTGTTGATTTAAAATTTTTATTGAATTTAATAATAAATGAAATTTTTGAAGTGAAAATTTTTCAAAACCAGTTAACTCGTTTTTAAATTATTTGATATATCGCTAAGCATTTAAATTGGTATTTTTTCTTGTGCATTTAAAAAAAAAGAAAAAAAAATTTTTCGGAAAAAAAATTCGTCGACAATTTGTCGACGAATTTGCTATTTTTGTTATTTCGAATTGTGTTTAAATATATTAAATTATCGTAAATGAAGAGATAAATCAAATAAATTATAATAAAAAATTTATTTTAGCTTATCAATATGCGTCTCGAATCAGGCGTAATGTCTCAAGGCGCATGGGATTACTTAGCCATGCATAAATTTGGATCGGTAATTTGCATATTTCCTTATCATTACTCTTATCATTATATAATTATCATTATATTACATTATCATTCTATTCTACGGACCCACCGAGCAGATAAAATAGCACATGATTGTTTCCATTATCAACCTTCGCTCAAATACCATCTGCATTAATAATATTATCGCAGAGCGTCGCCTTCGTTGGTTAGGGTACATTCTGCGTCGTCCACCACAGGAGTTGACGCATATTTCGTTACTTGCTAAACTGTGTGATGGATGGCATCAAAAGCGAGATTAAGCCAAGTAAGACCTGGACTGATACAGTCAGGGAAGATTTTGAACGTATAGGTGGAGAGGAGAAGCAATATATGGACTTAGACGATGTAAAAAGGAATGGCTTCTATTACTATAGCGATGGCGTCGGACCGGGTAGCTTGGAGACATCTTACCCTTCTAGCCAGCGGACCAGCCTAACTGGCAATGGTGAGAGCTGTTAGAAGAAGAAGATATCATTATCATTATATACTTTCTTATCATTACACATTTTTTCTTATCATTTCTTATCACTTATTTTTTTTATCTTATTTATGTCGTTATAAAACTTTAAAAAAATATATAATAAAATTTTTTTCGTTTAAAGTTAAATTTAAGTCAAATTTAATGATTAAATTTAAAGATTTAATGGTGTATTATCCATTATAAATTTTTACAACCTTTTTTGAATTTATTTTAGAGCATATATTTTATTTTTTTTGAAAAAAAGAAACGGAATATCGATTCTGATTTATTCTTCTCTGATAAAAAATGAAGTGATTTTTCAGAGTGATAAAAAAGAAAAGCAAGCATATATCGAAGAATTAAAGAGTTGCTTAAATCCTAAGAATCTCAGCAAATATTTATTTAGTTTTTGCAAAAGGAGCGATATATCATCACTACTTGGAAGCAAACTTGAAAAGTTTGTTCTATCTGATAAAAAATGAAGTGATTTTTTAGAGTGATAAAAAAGAAAAGCAAGCATATATCGAAGAATCAAAGAGTTGCTCAGATCCTATCTTCTACCTTATTTCAGTTTTTAGAAATTCAGTTTTTATCTATTTGTTATTTATCGATATTTTTATCACAAAAAAAAAATTAGATTTCAATTTTATAGTATGGATGCATTACTCGTAACTGGAGCTCGAGCTTCGCATCTTCACACCGTTTATACGACTCATAAGTCGATGAATAAAAGGAAGACAACTCTTCTCGTTGTTGACAATGTTAGCGATGTTATGGCAGAAGCTGTATGTATTTTTATTTTTTTTTTTATATAATTTTAATTTATTATCTTTAAAAAATTATAAAAATGTTAAATTATCGGTGCAGTTGACTTATATGCTTGCCTGAAGGGAAGCGCATTTTTTATTTTTTAAAAATAATAAATCTATTATTTAAAGTGAAAAGTGGATAGCTGATAGCTCATGTATTCCACATGTAACTTCATCCTAAATTGATTTTCTAGCTGAAGAATTCCATAATCCAATAGTATTACCAATAAACTACAAACCATTGATATCGTTTTATTTTAATGTTATCAAATATCAAATATGATAATAACAATAAAAATTGGACTTGCTACATAATTTAATAATTGTTTTGAGCCATTTATTTATTTAAATTATAATTATCATAAAAATTAAATATTATATAATTATTATAAATAATTTTTATTAAGCCAGAGAAATTGGCTCGTTCATTAATACTTTTGTGCAAAGGATGTGGTGTTATGTCAGGTGTTGCGATACCCGGAATGGAACGTCAACGAACATTAAGCAGGTTCGATGAATTTTTCCGATTTTCCATATCGATTAACTAATGGACTTTATCGAATTCCTATCATGCTTATTATTATTAAAAAATAGATTTTCGTTTTTTATTTTTGAAATTATTGAAATTTTAAATTTCATTAGGAATTAAAATTTAAATTGAATTCGAAAAACTTTACTCGGAAGAGATTTAATTTCTTTTTTTTTTAAATAACTTTTAATAGAAGCTTTTCATAATTTCCTTCAATTTTGGCAAGAAAATAAAGAAATAAAAATTTAAAATTTTTATATTGCATGCTATTTTTTTTATTTTAAATAACTTTATGATGAGGAGGGATTGAAAATTCCTATGGCCGCATCGCTTTGAAATATCTTACGCTTGTAGTCAATGCAGCCAACCTGTAACCAGTAATGGTGAGAGCTGTTAGAAGAAGAAGAAGAAAGAAACCTATTGGCAAGACTGATAAGACCATTTCTCTTTAACTATGATTACATCGAATTATTAAAGAGGCCTATGGCAAGACTGATAAGACCATTTCTCTTTAACTATGATTACATCGCATTATCAAGGGATTTAAGAGATTATTAAGCGAAACATAGAATAGTTAGGCTGCGAATGAGTTAAATTCTTGTCTCTTAATAGGAATAAACTTATTATTAATAATAAACCTAGGAATACATCTTTCTCACATTTTATGTGGTTCCACTTATATAGGTCGATAAGCGACTCGTACAACTCGTTTTCATTTTGCATTAACCATAAAAAAATCATTGGCATGATTTTAGTTCAATGGAAGAAGCCGATCGGCCGCGTCGTCTATCAGTGACAACTCCAAGTGCACCTGTTATTCAATAATGAAGATTTTTCATAAAACCTCGTCATCGTCTTTTTTTTTTTTATTTTTATAAAACAATTATTATTAAGAAAATAAAAATCACAGGTATTTCTAATGAATTGCTCAGTAGTATTCGAAAAAAAAAAAAAAACAATTAAATCATTAATTTGGAGAAAGGATTTAATTTTTTTTTTCCGCACGATAAATATAAAATTTTGCTTTAAAACTATTTTTTATTTAAATTATTTTAATAAAAAAATTTAGAAATTAAATAACGATTATTTGAAAATCTTTCTCCAAACTTTAAAGGCAATAAAAGCAATTTGCTTTTAAATAATTAAATTTTTAATGGTTTTTGCCATTTTATTTTCAATTTTATTATTATTTTTATTTTATTATTATTTTCAATTTATTTCGAATTTTATTTAAATGAAAAATGAAAAAATTTTGATTTTATTTATAGCACTTGAAAAGTTCGATTTATAGAAACTTTTCTAAAATTAATGATCCAATAATTCTTTTTTTCTTAATTTTTTCTCAAAAATTAATTAAGGAGGAAAAAAGAAAAAGAATAGAGAAGAAAGAGGAAGATAAGAGGAGGCCGAAGGATTGAGAAGCTGTCGCATTCAAAACATTAGAAACCCATTTATAGAAGGGATAAATTTGTTTTGGTATAATAGAATCATTGGGATGGCTTAAAAGGAAACGGGGAGGGAGAGCCTCTTGCCGTTGCAAAGAAACGAGAGCGCGTATACCTGAAATTATAGCTTAATAATTTATAACTTTTGATAGTACCAATAGGCCAATAGTACCACTTGGAGAAGTACCCATTCATGCTTTTCTTTCTTTTTTCTTGCAAATAAAAATAAAAACCAAAATAATAAAATAAAAAAAGAAAATTGAGGCTTAATTGAGGCTTTATGGTTATGGTTCCTTCATAAGATTCTTCTAATTTTTAATTTAAAATTTGTTCGTTTTTGTTAATTTTTCTTACGATCAACTAATTTTTCTTTAATTTAAGAATTTATCATTTTGTAAATTCTTATGGAATTATTAAATGCAAAGGACCTCAGTTACATACATTTGGTGTAATGTTTTTTTCTTTTTTTTTATACTAATTATTTTTATTTATTAATTAATTATAGAAAAGATAAAAGATTCCAATAAATGTTGAAAATAAATATTTTTCTTGAAAAAAAATATCATTTTTTAACCAAAAGTATCATTTTAATTTAATCGTTTCATAAAATTGAATATATTTAAAATTTTTTTAAAAAAAAACATTTTACATATTTTTCAACTACATTGCACCATATTGTATATTTTTAGTACTATCTCATTTTATTTTTCATCCTGTTTTATCCATTTTCTGTGATTTTTTTTTCTGTTTTTGATAAAATATTTATTTTAAAAATTACAATTATGATTTATGCAAATGGAAATTTTTCCAGTATTCGACTTAATTATTAATTATTTAAAAGAAAGTAGGATTTTAGTATAAAAAGTCGAAAAAGAGATAAAAGTAATGTGAAGCTTTAAACTCTATTAATATCCTCAAAAATCCATTTTCTGAACTTATTGCACCAACTTCTTAGATATCAAAAAAAATTACCTTTTTATCGGTGACAGCAGCAGTAGGACAGGAATTTTCATAAATGAGATCGATTATCCTTTTATACTAAAAAACCCTTAAAATCCTTTTATAAATTCTGAACCAAAATAACATAAAAAAAATACATAAACATAAACATAATCATCTACGTCAATAATGTTATTTTATACCTCAAAACGAGAAAACAATGATAGTATGCTCATTAAAGAGGAGCAGCATTGAGATCAGCATCAAATGAAGGTGCACGAGGTTCAATTGATTCTTTGTTGGTCCAATAAATAAATTCCATAATGAGAAAACATAAGGTACAAAAAAATAATCCCACCAAAAAAACAACAAAATCGGGGACAGAAGGATATGAAGTGAGAAATAAGACCAGTTCCGGCGGTGACCACACACTTTCCACCCATGTGGAATAAAAATCCGATTGAATTTCATAACCTAAAAACTTTCAATATTTTTTCAGGGACTTCAAAATAAAATTTCCGAAAATAATGAATTAGAGATCTCATGATGAGAGATATGAAATTATGAGAGATATGAAAAAATAATATGACAAAATTAATTTTCGCAACTAGGAATGCGAAAAATGTATTATTCATGTATTATTAAAATGTAAAAAATGCGAAATAAATTGCAGAAGAACCATTATCGAAAGCAGGCGATATGGCTCGCGTTTGGTATATGGCGGTTCGATAGCAAATTGTTAAATTTATAGTGGGATCAGTCTGCCAAGTAAAGCGATAGACCTCGAATAAATTTAAATTAAATATTGATGCTTGAATGAATTTTGAAAATTTGAAAAATTTTCCAGAAAGTATGCATTCATTCTTTATTTACGAAGATCACATGCAAAAATTACTTTAAAAATTAATTAAAATTCCAGAAAGTATGCATTCATTCTTTATTTGCAGAATATTAAGTTTATTATTAAATTAAATTAAATTATTATATTAGAATAAATTATAATTGGAAAATTCAAAAAAAAACCTGCTGGTGCTTATTAAGATCATTACACTGAGCATAATCTGTTACATTGACAACATCCTTGAAACCAAGGCAATGAATAAGAAGAGCTTCGATCAACAAACGAATAAGCGATGGATAAATATGACTACTAGAAATGTAGGTCGACTTTGCTGAATTTAAAATAGAAATAGAGCATGCAAACTACAAACGTTGGTTTTCCAATGAATAATATTAAATGAATAAAATTGAGAATTAAGCATTTCTCACTTCCTTCCTCGGGTTTAATCCTTCGATTTTTGAGAATTTGTACGAAAAAGTCACAAGAATACCAATCAGGCGATGTAATGAAACAATCAAAAAGAGTATCAACCTATAAAAGAGGAAATATGATCAATTAGATGAATTCAGAAAATCAGAAAAAAAATATCAGAAAATCAGATAAATGACCTAAATCGCTAAATTTATTTTGGAAAATTTTGAATATATTTTTTAAAATAATTATAGAAAGTTCCCTTAATTTTCCAAATTTATTGAATTTGTTGAGAAAAAAAATTAAAAAAAAAGAATAAAACCACAATAATTAATATTAAAAATTTACGAATTTTTCATCAATTTTATAACCGAAAGATGAATTCGGTCGGCTACCGTAAATAAATTCAATTATTGCACCCAAAGCAATTGTTGCAGACGCGAAAATTTCTTTTCTTATTTTTTCGCTATTATTTCCAAATACATTCTGGTCAGCGAATGAATTTATTCGTCTAAAACGCAAATTTTAAAAAATAATAAAACGATGTAGAATTACAACCTCTATAAAATATTACCGATATGAATATTTGTTGTCGAAAGGAGAAATGATAAAGCCAGAGATGTTACGATTTTCTTTTAAAAATGTTTGATATGATGATGGAGGTATCTGCGAATCTTTTGTATTATTGGCAATCGAAAGAGCAGGATAATCAGGAAAAAATTCTGATAATAGTTTATTGGCGGAGCCGATGAGTTTATCAATCTGATAATAATTTAAATCAAAAAAAATTGAAAATAAAAGTAAAACTAAGAAACATCATTCAAAAGGAAATACTGATAAGGAATATTATATTAATATAAAATTTTTGATGCAGATATACCATCTTTCTCTTATTTGTATAAACTTCACCGTCGACATGTGCAAAAAGGCCATTTTCTGAGCCATGGAGCTGTTGTATCTAAAAAAAAAATTAAAGGAAGATTGAATAAATTTATTGAATAAAATGAAAAAGTAGAAGAAAAGGATAAACAAAAAGGAATATTATAAATAGCCCACACCTCGACGAAAACTTCGATATCATTAATTCCAATAGAAGAAAGTTTTGGAAGAGCAAATTCGTCTAATTTCACTGGAAAATTCTTGCTGATCATATCAGCGACTGCGCGACTGCTTCCGATATATCCCAAAGATTCCTAAACATCAAGTATTTTTCCCTGCATATTAACTTAACTAAAGAAAAAAAAAATTTTTGATAACAGAAAAGCAAAAAAAAATTTTTCTAAAAAAAGAATGAAGAAAATTACTCCATGAAAAAATGAAAACATCACTGCGCGTTTCGATGAATTCCCAGCATTTATGAATTCCTTTGGATCATCACCAATAGCCTTTGCTACAGCCAATAAGCTGATTAATGAGGTTAAAACGGAAATATCGCCAACAGCAGATTCTGTCATCATACTAAATGAATCCATCTGCAGAAAAAAATAATTATTATACTATACTGTTCAGTAACAAATGATTATTAAATTAATTGATATTAGTAGTGTTAAAATCTTATTAATCTCCATTTGCCCAACTACATTTGAAAAGCTCAAAATGTTAAAAATTAAAAATCAAGGAAAAAATTAAATGTAACAACTATAAAAATATAAATAAATAGAAATATACAAAAATAGAACATAAATAAAAAAATATATACAAATATATAAAAAAAAATGCGGATTTATTTTTTTATTCATATATTTTGTTTATCTCACCATTTGGGGCTAGAATGGCTCAGTGGGCTGTTGCTCAATTAGGAGCGCCGATGCTGAGGTTGTATTCTGCACAGGAGTAAACCTGTCCAAAAATCCGGGTAATGCTGGCGACACACCTTCTGTACTTCTATATCGCCAAGGGACTCCCTGGCATATTTGTCCAATGCGACAAGCCAGCACAGCCAATTTAATCAAGGACTCTTTAAAAAAAAGTGCAAACATAGAACAAAAAAAACTGTGGATCCATAGCTAAGTTTAATCAATGATTTCTATAAGAGATAAAAAAGAATTTCTTAATTATGTGAGTATTGTATAGAGCGTTAATAGAATTTGGAGGAGTGAATGCAAATGTCCAGAAAATAAAGAGGATTAGAAAACATAATAAGAACTCACAGAATTCAGAACTGTTAAGGGGTTAAAGACGTATAACTGAATTTGAAAGAAAGGGGGTTAGAAGGGATAAAAAAATTTTGCTAATATAGCCAAATTCTTTTCTCCAGCTGATCGAACTCCTGCTTATAAAACAGCTGAAATGCATTGAAATGGAATGATGTGTTGTATAAAACAATATAAAGTTGGAACAAGAAGAAGAAAATGAGAAATCAAACATCCAAAAAGTCCAGGTAGATTTAAAAATATTTCTTTTTTGATATTTTAAACTTGTTAATCTCCATTTGCCCAACTACATTTGAAAAGCTCAAAATGTTAAAAATTAAAAATTAAATCAAGGAAAAAATTAAATGTAACAACTACAAAAATATAAATAAATAGAAATATACAAAAGATTTCTATTTCCCATTCCTCTAAGCAAAATTTTCTGATTTTTATTATTTTATAATTTCATTCTTTTGAAGACGAAATGGTTTCTCGATTAAGACTCATAACAATGAAGTCAGTCAAGAAGCATGAATAAAAAAAAAAATCAGACAAAGTAGATTTCAAAATCAAAGTATAACAGTAGTTGCGAAACATTGTTCCAGACAGTTTTTTGCTCACATATTTTATACTAATATTGCAAATTATTAAGATCCGAAATTGCGATAAGAAGACTTCAACTTTAATTCCAATAATGAAACAAGAATATTGGTTACTAATACTAATACCATACTATACTATAATATAATGTATACTATAATATTAATACTATACTATAATATTTAAAAAATTAATATTCAAAAAACTAAGAATATTAATATTTAAAAAAAATGCCTATTGTCATGACAAAAATTAATCAGATATCTCAAATCAAGTGCCTAATAAGTAATATTTTAAAATATTTAAATATTTTCAAACGTTTCAAATATTTTTTAATATTAAAAAAATTACCCTTGCAGCAAGTATGAAAATTTTAAATTGCTTTTCACTGTCAGAATATTTAATTGGCGGTGGCATTATAGAAAAAACATTTTTATCCTCTAGTGGATCACATAATGCTATACTGAAATACTTATCATTTTATAAGTTTCTGCATGAAAAAATTTCGTAAATAGAAATACATACATACATATATGTATATAAGTCATTTGAGGTGTTCAATGTTCAATGTGGTTTCTAATATTTAAAAAAAAAAGGAATGAAATTCTCATTGGAATGAAATATAATAAAGTGCAAAATCGAACAAAGAAAGAGGAATAAAGAAAAACGGAAACCCCATCATGTTTAACCCACATATTCTACGGAAACAAGAAGATGGTCAAAGTGTGACACTAACAGATCTGACGAATGAATTGCAGTTTTCGATTTCCTGATTTAAATTTTTTACTCAAAAAAACAAAAAGAAAAAAGAAAAGGAATATATTATCATAACAAAATATTATAAAACGGTGAACTGCAAAGGAGGCGATAAAAAAACTTACTTGGATTCTGAAAAACTATAGAAAAAGTCTTGTCGACGCATACATATCTTAGCATTACCAGCTGCGCGCATAAAAAGTTTCAATCGTGCTGAACAAAGCGGCATACCTTTTAAGCTACCTTTCTTATTGAAAGCTTCATAACACTGTAAATCTATTAACCATAAATGACGTTAAGTATAAAATTACTTTATAATTATTATTATCATTCCAGCAATTTTTCTTTATTCCAACAATATTATATTCCAACATACTATTCATTAAAATCATCTTTTTTCCTTTCAACAATAAATAACAATTGCCTCAACAATTTTGCTAGCATCATTAATTATTGGGATGAAATGTTCTCTATAGGGAAAAATAAGAGGTACAAATTAATCGCCGAATTTGTACCTCTTAGAGATTTAGTTCTACCAAGGAATATAAATCGAACTCACGCTATCTCTCTTCGCTGAACCAAAAAGCAATGAAAATATTTTGAGAACAACTTTAAATTCCACAGAAATTTTTTTTTAAATTTCTTTTTTTTTGAGATTAGTGAGATCTAAATTTTTTTGAATTTTAGCCATTTTGAAGCGAACCTTTTTTCTTATTATTTCTATTTCTGTGAGATTTTCGATTAGAAAAATTGGCTTTTGCCAGTCAATAAAGCGAATTCCTTCTGATAAAATAGCACCATCACGATTCCACTGATTACAGCTTCCATTATATAAACCTTAAACTAGTTTTTTTAATTTAAACAATTCTTAATATTAATGAAATTGAGAAAAATGCAAAAAAAGGATAGTATTTAATAATGAATATTAATTGAAGAAAAATATTAATAAAATTTTAATTTGCAAAATGGAAAAATTTAAATTCAAATTGCAAAAAAAAATCAATTTAAGAAAATGAAATGCACCAAAGCGGTCATTTGGACAAGCAGAATCTTCTGAATAAGGAAAATTTATTATGGTCCTATTCGCTAATTCATTTAACAATAATACTCCTTGGATTCTTTGGTTTTTTAGAAATCGTACAACATCCCTGAAATAAATTAAATTTATAAAAAAATAGATTAAATATCATAGTTTAGTGTAGTCAAGAATATTTTTGGTATTTTTTGATAAATAACTCTTACATTCTTCTCTCTCCTATAACTCCTCGAAACATTGTGGTATTACCAATTGAAATAAAAAAAATGATAAAAAAATTTTTCAAAAAAAGTCAATATTTTAAAAAAATATGCAAAATAAAAAGAAATAAATTAAGAAAAAATGAAAAAAGTATTTTCAAAAATAATTGTTGCAATAACCATACAAAATTCAATTTGAAATTTGAATTAAACAATTTATATAGCTTATAAAATAAAAAAAAAGAAGAATAAAATTAAACTAAAATAGAAATATTTGCCTTTCAAGAAGATGAGTATCTATTGCGATAACGAATTCAGTTGATGAATCATACAACGAATAAAGTTCAGCAAATTGTTTTTTGTTAGAAATATAGACAACAACACCAATGTTTCCTTCTTCTTTTGCTAAAAAAAATTCCAATTAATATACAATATAAGCAATATTAGAAGATAAATAAATTTTAGAGAAATTCCAAGAAAATTTGAAATGATGATAAAGTGATAAATTTAAGTGTATTATTTTTTTAAAATTTTTCTCCCATCTAAAATGAAAAATAGACGAAATTTTTCAAAGATAATCTATAAAATCCTTTATTTATAAAATCTTATTCTTTTCTTTTTCTTTTTCTTCTAAAAGCATTAGTTTAGCTAATCTGACTATTAGAATGATAGTTTAGATAATCCTTTCACCACAGAGACGATTTATAGGCAGTCCTTTCACCATAGAAATCGAGACAGTACCTAACATACACTCGACTATCACTTTTAATAACAACTATTTATGAATATTAAGAGACACGAATCGTATTGATAGCAATATTTTTCGCTCGCCGTAATCATCATCAACTGTTTTTTATTTTAAAAATAGTCAAAAAAACTGATTCAAAAAATTTTAAAAAGAAAAAAATAAACCTACATTGACATCCAACTTGATTGGTCGCATTCAATAAACGAAAACAGTATTGTTTGCCTCCATCCAATTGTAAATAAATCTGATCGGATAACCTTTCACATAGTATTAAATTAATTACTGAAAAAAGAAATATTACTTGGATTAATGTTTGTTATATTGGTGATTAGTCTATAAATTTAACACACATTTCCAGAATATTCTTCTAGTACCAATTCTTAAATAAAAAAGAAAAAAGTTCCATTCTTAGAGCAATCAATGAAAAATTAGCCAAATTTTAAATGTCATTAGAAGAATATAAAGAAAAAAAAATATTTATAATTAATATTATATTTATAATATTTATAATTTTCAAATTTCACTTAATATTTATATATATATATATATATTTTATTTATTTATAATAATTTTGTATATATTTGCTTTTGAAAGAAATTCTATTTTTTATAAAATTTATAGAATTTTGATAAACTATTTCATAATTGTAAATTTTTACGGCTTTTCATGTATTTTATAAATTTTTCATAAAAATGAAATTCCTTTTTATAAAATTTATTTTTTTTTTTCATGAGATAATGCCTTTTTCTACTTTATTTATTTTATTTATAAATTTTTATACTATTTGCCATAAATATTTACTTTTGATTATTTCCTTAAATAACGTGCGCGATGTGCTTTTTTCCTAGTTCCCCTCCTCCTATTCACCCTTCCCCCTCGTTTTTTATTGCTTTCTTGTTTTTTCTCTCTTACTGTCTCTCTTAATTCTTTTATCTCTGCATTCATACTCATCGCCGCATATTTCATCGCAAATAATTTGTCCTATCGGTCGCGCAATCTCTCTATACTCTATAATCTTTAATCCACTCTCTTATCGTCGAACAACAAAAATTATAAAAAACTGGTAAAAATGGAAAATTTCGCAAAAATATAAATATACGCACCTGAAAAACCAAAAATAAGAGGAACATAATACATTTCTTTGTATAAGAAAAGATTTATTCATATAATTCATCGCAATAAAAAATACAGATTTCTAACTTTCGTTTCATGACCCAATCTTTTAAAATCATGAACTATGGCCTAAACTGGGGTGAGAAGGAGGGGGGCGCTTCGGGGAGATATTAATGCAAATGGAAGGAGGATGTAATCAAGGGAGGCTCGTTTGAGATTCACATACAAGATATGCCTTAGGCAATAATAGTTAACGGTAGATAACTTTCTGATATCGTTTATTTTCATTGGCTAGAATCTTATTATGCCCAGTATGGCCGCTTATATATACGAATCATCTCTTACGAACATTTGTTTTAAGGGCTGATTTCGCGACGAATCCAAAGAAAGAACTTATCACTTAGCCGCAGGCTGGTACCTTTTATCTTTTTGCTTGACCTTTTGATAAGAGAATGGGCATGAAGAAATTTAAAGTCCATAATCACCATTTTTTGAAATTATTCTGAATTAATCCTTTAATCTGCTATTTGTCAGTATTGGTACTATGAAAATGTCTGAATGACTATGGTTAGATAAGAAAGTTTAAGGCAATATTTATAATAAGGGATAAAAACGATGCAAAAAATGGATTTCACGGAATATTAAGGTAGAATTATTAAGAATTACGAGGATTGATAAAATATTACTGCTTGCGAGTTTAAAAATTGCATCAGTGGTTTAGACAAATCAAGAAAAATCAAGAAAATCAAATCAAGAAAAAAAGATAGCTCAGTGGATCGTTGCTCAATTCGGACCGTCGATACTGAAGTTCTGTCTTTTGCAGCAAATTTGAACTGCCCTTCAAAGATCCGCATGATGTTGGCGATTCACCTCTATTTCTATCGCCAATTGTATCCTTGAGGAAATTCATATCTTCCGAGATAAGCCAGCGCCAGCTGAATTAAATTCTAATGATGATGACCTGATTCTTGGAAAAAAATGAGCATTTATCGATGCTTGACGGCTAATGTCAACGACCAACTTAGAACAGCAACATTTAATAGTTTCGTGTGATAAAAATCTAAAAGTAAACTATTGAACCTAATTTAACCAATCTAATCCACCTTACCTACTATGCTAATTCTGTATACGATAAGATACAAGAAAGAGATGAACATTGACCATTGTAATTTAGTTCTTCGTCTTCTAATAGCTATCACCATTATCGGTTAGGCTGGCTCCGTTGGCTACACAAGTAAAACGTTGTAATTTAGTTCAAAATTTAATTTAAATGAAATTAAATTAATTAAAATTTTATTTCCATTAGAATTTTACTACATCATATTTATTATGATTTTCAAATTAATTTAATTTCATTTAATTTTATTAATTTATTTATTTACATTATATTTTATTTATTAATTAATTAATCATTGCAAAAATGAAAAAAGTAATAGTTTATTCAATAGGCATATAAATAATAATATATAAATAATAATATTGTAAATATAAATAATATTATAAATATATTCATATTTATGAGGTGCTTTGGAGTCGAAAAAATTTTAGCAAAAAATTCATTAAATATAGGCTTACAAAATGCAAAATGTATTTTTTTGACCTCAAATAGTTAAAGCAATTCCAACTTCATTTTATTAAATTTAATTTACGATTAAAAATGAAATCTAAAAAGGTGCTGAAAATTTATTTAATTTTAATTTTAGTTAAAAATAGCAAAAAATAAAAAATATTTTCATTTTAATTTATTAAGAAAAAAGTAATAAACATATTAAATAATATTAAACATCATATTAAAAATTATTTTAATATTATCATTTCACAAGTAATCGTATTTCTTTCACAACTGGAATGAAGATCTTTTATTTTGATCGGCTGTAAAGCAAAAGTGATGACGGGTGAAGAAAAAAGGAAAAAATGCACCTTATCAGCAATTTACTACAGAGATGAACACTCTGAGATTCGTGAACTTTATAAAATTCGCCGCAAAAGCGATCCCAAATACATGTGGGAAGTGTAAAACGAAAGGATTTAGCTGCCTTGGTGGTCATCGCTTTCTATTAGTTTTTAGTCCTAAGCTTTAATTCCATGAATGAAAAGGGAATCAGAAAAGCTCAATTTTTTTCGTTTCAATCTCGATACAAATATTGGGTCGAAAAAGTTGCAACTGATGTAGAATTGCCGATGTACTCATTTACATATAGTCACTGTAATGGACCAAATGCCGATATAATATGTTCAGAAAACAACAAACAATTGTGGGCCGTTCTTCCGTTTGGACCCTGCAGGTAGTAGCGATGTCATAAAAAATTGCAAAAAGAAATGTGAAAAAAGAATTGCGCTTACCAGCTGATTTTTGATAATCCTAGCATAAGTTTCTGAATTAAATGGCCCTTAGGCAAATTATCTTCGACTAAGACTACCAATATATTTCACTTAATGCTTATTCATTTAAAAAAGTATTACTTTGATTCATACATATATACTAAAACCTAATCAAAATCGTTTCTATTGTGGTACAACAGCTTCGTCGTCAACGATATAGCTTATGCGCCTATCTTTAAAAAAGATTAGTTAATATCATTTGTTATAGATATTATTTTAAAAGTTTAACATCATGCAGGAAGTGTGAAATCTCGATTTTTACCATTCGATTGTAGTTATTTCGAATTGTATTATATTATATATTATTTTGTAATTTCCTCTTTATTTCATTTTTAAATTATTTATTTTATTTTATTATTTTTTTTGTCATTAATATTTATTATTTGTTATTTTAACTGTTGTTATTAATACAAGCATATGGCGTTTGCGCTCTGTTTGGCTTTTCAACAAATAAATAAATAAATAAGTAAATTTATACCGACTTACACCGTCATTGTCGAGAAAATTCCCAAATCTGCAATATCCTCGACTATGGCATTTGTATAAGCCAGGTTTCCACATTAATTAGTCGTCACTGCTTATTTTTTAAAATCAAATTTTCTTTTATATTTCTACCTGATTATCTACTTATTTGGGATATTGAAATAAATATTTTGGTCTTATTAGTTACATGCATAAGCGTTGAAATCTACTACTTTCAATTTTTCATATCAATGAATTAATAAGAAGGTGATAATCATCCATTATTTCTTTCATGCTTATTCTCTGGCTTTTACCATAGCCAAAAAATTTGTCGATATCCATAAGAATAAAAGTTGCGATGGGTAGTTGGTGCCACAAGGATTTTTTTAAATTAGAAATTCAAGTGCATTGGTGGCTTTGTGGCAAATTATCTGTTACCGAAAATAAGATGGGCTAATCACGACCTGGACTGGCTGGCACAGCCAGGGGAGATTTTGAGCACATAGCTGAACCAGCAGTACATGGATTCGCACAACTTTTTATTGAAATAAAGCGTTTAATAATGATTTTATTGCGTGGTACATATTTATAACAGCTAAGACGAAATTTAAAAATGAAAGAAAACTTAAATAGCTCACATTGCCATAATTGAGAAAAATTTTAGGCGAACCAAAAACCAGTAAACCAATTTTATTAATAATATTAATAAAATAATTTTATTTTATTAATTAAATAATAAAATATCAAAATAAAATTTAAGAGAACAAAAGCAGCAGAGATAAGCAAATTTACTAATTTGTATTCATCCACAACAATTGTTTTAAGGTTTGTCAATAGGCAAAACAAAATTATTATATGAAATTATGAAATATAATTGTAAATTATTAAATAAAATAGGCAAAATAAAATTATTATATGAAATTATGAAATATAATTGTAAATTATTAAATAAATAAAATAGGCAAAATAAAATTATTATTATAATAATATTTCATCACAATATTTTAATTTCTTTACTAATAATTAATATTTTGCTAAATTTCATTCCTTGAAGGCATATTTAGGTGCTATTTAATTTGCTTGGATATAGTTAGCAGCAAAATTACGTTCCATATTATTTTGTGAAAATTTTTTTCGCAAATTATTATTTCTGTAGAAAAAATTTTGCAAAATTGCTAATTGCTAATTAAAATTATTTAAAATTGTAAAATTTTGAAAAATTTTTTACACCACTTTATGAACGTTAAAATCGTTAAAAATTGTTTCTTAAATGGTTAAAACGGTATTAATAAATTTCAGTGATTTTTTATAATTTTTAATTTATTTTTATTTTAATTTTAATTTTTTTGGATTCCATCAAGAATTTGATCGAAATTATTGATCGAAATCGAAAAATTATTCGCCCACTTATAAACGATCGATGATTAATTTAACTATAATTGATCTGAATTGATTTGATAATAAAGCAATATTATTTATTTATTTTTATTTTTATTTATCATTTTTCTACCACTAAAGTTTCAGAAGGATGGCTTGCTTACCGCAATTAACGAATTTCTGCGATTTAAGAGGAAATAAACTCCCCCCCCCCCCCCCTCCCCCCAAAAAAAAAGAAAAAAAAAGAATTAGATGAAAGGCGATTATTCTTGGAATTCTTTTTATTTATTTTAATACTTTTATAATATTTAATATTTTTAAATAATTATATATTTATAAAAGTAAATTATTTATCTTTTACAAAACGTAAAAACGTAAAAATAATTATAGGAAAAAGCTCTTTTTAAACTAAATAAACCACTAAGATTTATTATCACTGCTATTATCACTGCTTTAAAAATTCAAAAAGAAAAAAAAATTTGAATGAATGTAAAATGAAAGGCATTTGTGAATTTTAATTTTAAAAAATTATTGTAAAATTATTGTATTTATTGTATTTATTTATTAATTATTATTATTGATAAATTATTAAAATAATTTTAATTTTAACAATTTTTAAATAATTTTAAATTTCAATAAATTTTATTAAAAAACTATAATTTTGGCTTAAAATATTATATTTCGCTTGATTTAGCCATTTCTTCTCCCTCAACTTATCGATAACTTTTTACTTTTTATACTTCTGTGTATCACAAGTCGTCATAATCTCGTAAATAGAAGGGAGGAAAAATCGTGGATAATTTTGTGCTTTTAAATTTTCTTTTTCAATAAATTTTGTCTTGAAGCGATCTTCTGCAATTTAAATTTGTTTTTATTCAAATTTTTATTCGTTCTATGGTACTTTATTGTTTTGCCGTGGGGAATTTTTTTTGTTTTTTGTGAGCATTTTTATTCTTTTTATTTGAATTAACGACTCCATCGATATTAATTATTATCGGATTATTTGTGTTATTTATAATAGATTTTACTTACAATAAAATTTATTATATTATTACATTATTTGCAGTTATATTATTTCTTCTGATTAATAGTTTTATTCAATTCTTTTGGTGAATTCTGTGAAAATACAATTAGTTTATTTAAATATAAAATAATAAATAATTTGCGAATAATAATAAATAATAATAACAGTAAAGAATATTAAAAACAAGTGCCATGTTTTTCTTTTCATCACTTTTATAATCTTTTTTCCTATTATTTTGAAATTTCAGTCCAAAAGAATTGAAAGAAATACATTAAACTTTGTAAAATTGCCATATGTTTTTTTCGCTATTATGTCGATTTGTATTCGCTTCGTCGCTATTTTGTCGCTCCATTTGAGCGAAATTTTTTTAATAAAATTTCCTTGATAATAATTTCGATAATTTAATATTAGATGCTACTGCACCATATTTATTAACTCTAAAATATTTTTTCATAAAGTAAGATAGTTTTTTCTTTTTAAATGCTCAAGGGAATGCCACAGCCCATAACGTGGGTATTGATTCTTCATTTGCAACTTATACTTTTATATACTTATATACTTTTGTCAAAAGCCTATTAGAACAGATCAGATCCAAAGTAAATGTGCGTGCTGCGAAGATTAACGTTAAGCAAAGCCGTACAATTCCTTTTCATTCATCATCAAATTATCACTAATCATCTATATGCTGAAGAAAATGCTGATTCAATAAATTGGAAATTCAATGAAAATTTCGCACACATATTTCATTCCAGGCTTCGCGGATTTAAGACCTGTGGTACTTGGCTACAAGTTCATGGTGTTGCATTTTAAAACATTTCCCTTGGGATGAAATTAATGAAATTATTTTAAAAAACTGATAAATAAATAAAAATTAGCAAAAATTTACTTTTAAATTTCTAAAAATTATGTCAAATTACAAGGAAAAAATGGAGAAAAAAAATGTATTTATTTATTCGAGTGAAATGCGATATTTTAATATTCGAAAAAAAAGGTGAATAAAAATATTTTTCAACAATTTTATTTATTTATAAATAAAAATATGACCCCAATTGTAAGAATCATTATAGATTATTGAAAATAAATTAAAAAATGGCTTCTTTTTTGGTTTGTTTGTTCGTGTTCATTGAAGTCATTTTGGTTCTAATTTGAGGGTTGTTGGTTTGTCTTGATGGATTTTACTTAGTGAGATTTATCATCATGTTAGGACTCCTTTAGTTATGTTGTTGCGCGTGAATTTTCTGATTGGTGAGGGTAGTAAGTAAGCTTTATTGGTAGTAGGTTTTGGTTCTTTCATGTTTAATTTTAGTTATTTTTTGTTTTTCTTTTATAAGATGATGGTGTTGGTGTTGGAGTTTTATTTTTGTAATTTTGTTGTATGAGGTGGTGGGTTTGTTGTGGGTATCCTTAACGTTTTGGAGGTGTTTGTTGTTGGGACTTTAGTGTATTTGCATGGATTATTTGGTTAAGTTGAAAGTTCTTTTGTTTGATTATAGGGTTGATTTGGCCATTTTTAGTTTGCATTGTTCTGGAGTGAGTTCTACTTTGGGAGGTATTTATTTTATGGTTGCTGTTTAAAATATGCGTAGTGCTTCTATTTATTTGCAACATTTATATTTGTCTTTGTTTATTTGGACTGATTTTTATTGCTGTTTTCCTTTTGATTTTGCCTGTTTCGGCTGGGACTATTACTATGTTGTTGATGTATCGTAATTTTAATACTTTTTTTGATTCTAATAGTGGTGATAATCCTTTAACTTATCAGCGTTTGTTTTGGTTTTTTGGTTATCCTGAGGTTCATATTTTGATTTTACCTTCTTTTGATATTGTTAGTCAAAATAGTTTATATTTGACTGGTAGTAAGGAGGCTTTTGGTTCTTTAGGTATGATTTATGCCATTTTAAGAATTGCTTTAATTGGTAGTGTAGTTTGAGCTCATCATATATACATTGCTGGTATGGATTTCGTGCCTATTTTTCTGCTGCTGCTACTATGGTTATTGCTATTTCTACTGGTGTTAAGGTTTTTAGCTGGTTAGCTACTTTGCATGGTGTGCGGATAGTTTTTCAGCCTGTCGGTTTTAAGTTTTATTTTTTTATTTACTATAGCTGGTTGTACTGGTGCGATCCAATTCTAGTTTAGATGTTGTTTTACATTTTACTTACTATGTTGCAGTTAGTCATTTTTATTATCAGAATAGGGACTGTTTTTAGTATTTTTTGTGCTGTTTATGCTGTTAGTTTTTTTTGATGGACTTTTTTGATTGGTTTTATGATAAAATTTTTATGAGAGTGGCTTCTTTTATGGTTTTTGTGGTGCCAATTTGATTTTTTTTTTTTATTTTTTTGATTTGCACGCATTTCCTCATAAATTTCTTGATTATCCAGATATTTATTCTTTTTGAAATGTCATTTCTTCTTATTGTTTTATTTCTGGTATTTCTTTTTGTATATTATTACTGTAATAATATTGGTTTAAAGAGGGGTTATATAATGGTTTTTTCTCATAGTTATCAGGAGGAGGTTTATTATAGGGATAATTGTAAGAGTTTTAGTTCTTTTATATTTTTTATTGCAAACAGAAAGGTTTTTGTGGAGTTTAGCGAATTAGAATAGAGGTAAATCTTGACGATTCGTTTGGGATTTTAGTATAATTTTAGTTTAATATGTTTGATTTCCAATCTTACGGTTGTTGGTTGATAAATTTATATACTTTTATTTATGTATTTATATAATTCATAAGTTTATTTCAATAGTTTGAAAAAATAATGCAAAAATACAAAAGAAATAATTCGGTGATTTAGATTTAAGGGCGACAATGGCCACAAGTGAATCGACATACTCTGCTCATTACTTTCCCATATTCACCGATGAAGCAATATTTGGCATTTTCTCGGCATCGAGAATCTGAATCGAAACATGTTGGCGATTGAGTCGTTCGATTATTCTCTAAAAATTACAGATTTCATAGCAACAGATTTTAATGATGCGAGCAATCTATGGCAAACATATCGAAAAAGAATCTGGCGAACAATCTCTTAAATTGCATGTCTTTTTGCAAGATTTCTTCATGAAATCTGTGTTACAAGCTGGATCGCCAAGAAGTCTTATCGCGCAATGCTCGTCTTGATCTGGACAAACTCCAAGTGCACCTGGTTTATCGCAGAGTCCACACGTATGTGGGCATTTTCTTAATGCAATATCGCTCAATCGCTGATCTGTGCACAAATTGCCACCGTTGTTCAAATGTCGACAAGCATCATCCGCTTCTCCTGCTGAAAAAAAGGTCAAGAAAAACTTTATTGGCCTGCAAAGATCTTTCTAAATGTTGAAAACAAATTTACCATTTGAACAATCAAACTGCTTCGTTTTACAACAAAATGCGCAATGACTCGCACATTCGCGAAGTGCGAGGCTTTTTAAGGCAGCGTTTTCACAGAATTGACTAACTAAATAATTTGTCCCTCTGAAAATAAATAGTAGTAGGTATTTCCTAAGATTTTTTTTTATGTAAGACAATGAGACGTGCAATAATAAATTTTCCTTTTTTTCAGAAACTGGATAATGCACATCGATTTAAAGTCCCTTACGGATTGGCTTGCGCTGCCAATGTTGCAGCTATCTCCCCAGCATTATCGCCATTTTTGAATATTTCGTTACATACACGGTCATCTCGATTTTTGCAGAGCTGTGGATGAACAGATGGTCGCTGAAACATTCCAACGGCAACAGCGCACGTTACTATTTGCACGCCACCACTATTCACAGTATGGGTAAGAGAAATAAAGAAAAAGACGAGGGGCAGCATTTCTGACTTGCAGATTTTTTTCGAACTGCATTCATATTTTCATCGCGGGGTTTTTATGCCAATATCAGCGTGAAATTAAACAGTTATTTCCTCTACTTTCTTATAACAAAATAATTGAATCTGTAAAATTATATTTATTCATATGCCAAATTCTTTTAATGTTTAATATTTTATTTAATTAAATTCTTTTAATATTTAATATTTTTAATATTTAATATTTTTGATCGAAAATCCACCGGAAATAATCAGAATTTATTGTTTTTACGGTTGTTTACGGATGCAAATTCTCATATATTTTTATTTATTTATTTAAAGACTCTAAATAAAGATTTCAATATTTTAAAGGGTTTAAATATTGCTCTACTATGGGAATCCAATTTTATCGGCAATAATCAATTATGTATGCAAAATTTAAAAAATTGCTATCTCAACCATTATCCACGTAAGTAATTATTCAAAAATTAATTAATCATTCCACTGAAATCAGTTCTGTTAAAATGAATCTATAAAACGAACTAAAAGTCAGCGGAAGTCTCCTCGCAAAATTTGTTCTTTTTTAGCCTTAAGGAAAGTGAAATTTATTACAAAATTTATTTTATCACATATAAAATTTATCAAATATTTTATCAAATTTTATAGAATTTTAAAATTAACAATAAAATAAAATTTTAAAAAACGTTATGGAAGCGCTGGCTAATTTTTTTACAAATTTTTTTATTTTATATTACAAAATTTTTTTTGCAATTATCTTCAAATAAATAGTTAATATCTCTGCCCTCCAGGCATAAATCTCGGCTAATTTTAGCGATTTTAAATTCCATCAGATGAATTAAAATGTTTGATACAAATGACATCATCTGCTTGCACGAAGAAGTTGCTTTAAGGCGAAATCATTGCTATATAAATTGTAAAATATAGATAATCTATAATTTATAATAATATAAATAATATATATCTAATAATCTAAAAATAATAAATATAATAATTTATAGTAATAAAAATATAAATATAAATAATCTCTAAATTATATTTATGCGGAGAATTGTGGGAGATGTGGGGGAATATCGGAATAGAGGACGGTTTCTGGATTCTCGGGATTTTCTCTTTCGATGTGGGAATTTTTCAATAATTTTTATTATTATTTAGTTTACGAGATATAACGCAAGTGTAGAAAATAAGTCAACGTATATATCGCTTCTTTTCCTTTGAGTTAATCCGCTTGAGTTCTTGTGAGGGAAGAAGATACATTGCCGTGATTTTTTCAAAATTAGGGATTATAGCATTTCTTTAATTATTTTTTAATTATTGCGAAATGGTCATTCTTAACTAATTCTGAGCAATTTTTTTTGATAGTCCTCACCATTGCTGGTTAAACTCGCTCAATATGGATCTCTATGGGTATTGAGCATTAACAATCCGTGTAGTCAATGTAGTTTCCCTTTTCATCTTCAAATGCTTTAATGGATAGCTTCAAAACGCTGTTATTTTCTCAACTTCCAATAGTAATGTGTCATAATTACAGGTATATCCATTGCTAAATGATCTCCCAGGTGAGGTTTTTCCCATAAGCCAGCAGATTCTACTAATTCCTGAATGTGAATTAGGATGCACGTTATATACGATGGTATTCTCGACATGAAACTACGATTCTCGATAGTAATTTTCCACTGAGGCAGTGATTTTTCGACAATTTTTCGGAAATATTGCGCTTCAATATTCTACAATTTCATCTCGAAATTTGGTTAGTGCTTCACAACTGCTTATAAAACAGGCAATGCTAATAGAGCACCTATTACGACCAATGCGCCAATTAAAGATGGTAAGAAAACAGGGATGAAGTGTGGGTTATTGGGATAATGCATGTTACTCCGCGTATAAAATTTTTTATGCGCCCTTGCCATCATTGGTTAAACTCGATAGCTCTATAAGACAAATATGTAAAGGAGTCCAATGGCGACAGAAATTAATTAATTCTGCTTATTTTTTGGTCAAATAAACTGCATATCGTTTTTGTAAATGCATTGGATATGAGATTCTTCATGAGGAATTTTTCTTGAGAATTTTAGATAATAAATCCTCATTGAATCTTATATGCTTTCAATTTACGCAATGAAAAGGTTATTTTCTGAAAATTTATCAGATTTTCAAGTATTTATTCCTTTAATTTATCAGTTTTTAGGTATTCTGAAAATTGCTCATTTCCTTTGCAGTCGATGTTATTATTGTGAAATTCCAGTATTTCTGTGGTGAAGTAACTACGATAAGAATAACAGCGGATTCATTCGTCAGTTCCTTTCTTCATGTTTCCCTTCAATGATTAATTTGTTTTCATGAATATTCATGGAGAGTTCCATTAGATGAAATTGTGCCATTTCGACAGATATTTTCTTATTTAAAGTAGTTCAATGCGCGAATTTGTTTTTAATCCAAATTTATTTATTTTATTCATATTTGTTTCATGCTAAAAACCAGTGAGTGAGCTTAAACGGGACTCTTAAAAAAGAAAAGTTTTCCGTGAGACCTGTCAAAGATGAAAGGGTAAAGGATAATCTACGTTGCAAGAAATATTTTATTCCAATTAATCGAAGGGATTTCCGTTTGGGATTTTTATTATTTTTTAAATATCTTCTCTTCAAGAAAAAAACTCTTCAAAGAGTTATTCAAATTTAAAACACCTTTCGCTTCATATTTTTTCACCATTTCTGTTATTTTCCAAAAACATTATGCTAATGAATATTTTCCTGTTGAAATATATTTTTAAATAAATAATTCAGTGTGCGAATTTGCATTTAATCTAAATTTATTTAATATTTGTTGTCATAAAAAAGATTGTGAAAACTTGAGAAATTGCAAATGATGCTAAAAATAAAAAATATCACTTTTGTAAACATTAACTGCAAAATAAATTAATTAAACCAATATGATGCATTCGTGTGGGTTCAGCAAAGCAGCATTATTGATTAAATTATCAAAATGTTATCAAAAAAATATCGCTTAAGTGATGCGAAAAAATAGCGGCAATCTGAAATATAGAACGACATGTTAGCGTTGATAGGTTTATAACAATTTTCATAATGCTTAATTCATCTAAATTGGAAATTTTAATCGGAAATCTCAGTAAAGAATCACGTCCCGAGAATCGTGCGGATCGTCGATGATTCTCAATGCTTTTTAATGGTTCTTTTCTTTCCTTCCAGAAATATCTATGTATTTTTTGAAAATCATTTCGTACAGTAGTTCAAAGTGATGGCGCAGGCAACTGGTAACTGAAGAAAATAATTTCTCGTAAAAACTCGCTTTTTTTACTCGCATCACTGCAATCATACTTGAGTGCTTCACAATATAACCCATATCCATGTGGCTATAGCCGTTTGGCCAACTTCCTTAAAGACATTTTTACTTTAATTTGGTCTTCCAGAAGAGAGCTTTGAAAAACAAAGCGAATGCATGGTGTTTTATTTATTTTTATGCATAAAAGTTAAAAAATAACGCTTGTGGCAATGGGAACGAACGCAATAATGCCTAAAGCAATGTTGAGATTCATTTCGCATTCATTAGTGAATGATTAGAGAAATTTAGCGAAAACAACAATTATTTTATAAATTTTAAATTTATTGTTAGTAATTAATTAATTTCTAAATTCTGCATAAATTTTCTAAATATTTTTCTTCGTGAACCGAGGAAATCGAATATTTTACTATTTCGGAAAATCGTGGATGACCAAATGACCAAAATGATGCAATGTGAAGTGAAAGCGAACATCTTAAAATTATTATTGGTAATATGTTCGTTTTTATTGTTAGCGGTTTTATTCAATTACAATTTACAAAAATTATTTAAAGTACCAAAGATTTCATATAAAATTTTTGAAACTCTCTTCACAAAGATTAAATCAAATTAGGCAATTAGTAGTAGTTCAATCGAATAAAATCCAAAATTTTCACAAATACATTGCATCAATCGACATTCATCCAATATAGAAAATTTCATATTTAATAAAAAATTTATTTAATTCATATTTGATAAAGAATATATTTTTAGATTTTCCATTATTGATAGATTTTAGATTTTAGTAATAAAATGCAAATAAGTGCTTAGCGAGTGCTCGGCTAGAAGGCAGGTTTGAGTTTTGAATTTCTTAATTTTAGCGTTTAATTAAATTTGATATTCGTAGCTTTAATAATGATATAATTTATCATATTATTACGAAAGAGAAATAAAGCATGCATTATGGCCTCTTCAAACGTTATCAAATACCCTCGCAGCAAGGTTTAAAATACCCTCGCAGCAAGGGTTCAAGGTTTAGGTTCACGTCGTCGTTTTAGTTTAACGCTTTAACATTTCTATGCATTCATTGCGAAATACCTTAAGAAAACGAGTTGAATCAAATCTATTTTGGAACCAACAGCACTTAAAATTATGAATTTCGAAACTTTTGAACAGGAAATTCGATTACAAACCGTTTTATTTTATATTACCGTTAATAAACGACTCGAAAATAAGGAAAATAATACCTGCTGGACTGATAAAAATTAGTAAAATTTTAATTCTTAACTCTTTTATTCTTTTTTTAGCTATTGTAAAAAGACTATTTGATCAGACGAAATATCCAAAAAAAGGGAAATATAATTTAAAATAATGAGGTTATCAATCAATGGAAGAATACAAAGACTTGTATTAAGAGATGAAGAGTTCTCAAAAAATTTTAATGATATTTTAATTTTCAAATTTTAATTTTAATTATTTTAGCTATAATTTAAAATTTTAATTTCAATTATTCAAGTGATAAGATTAAAATTATATATTCATCTGGAAGCTCTATCAATTAAAAAATTCACAATTCGCAGGACAAAAGAACATATTCCATCGCAATCAAAAACTGATGATTTTATGATTTTTCAACAATTTTTTCACAATAGCTAATCTTCTCGATATTCTTTTCGATTGTGCAACAGAATCTAACATCGAACAATAAAGTAAATAAAATTGAATCGAACGAA